GCATCGTAGTCGGCATCGTCAGTGAGTATCGCCATCCTAAGTACCATACAGCTACTCGTCAAAGAGACAACCTCTATACAACGAAAGGAGACTGCGACTACACAAAAGGCCACACCATCTTGGTCTTCATACCGTCAAAAAAGTATATTTTGCTCTATTTTTTAAAGTATCTATTCTTGCTCTGATAATGTCTGTCATGACAGTACAGCCAAAAGCTGTGTACAGGTTCATCGGGGTTGCAGGACGATGGGCCAAGAACTTCTTCGCACAATAAATCAGTCTTGCCTACGTGGCAATCCTCCATCGGTTTCCAGTGAGACCACATCACAAATTCCTTCCAACCAATCTTTCCTCTGAAACAAAAAGTCATGTCACAATATATCAATAAGAAATTCTCCGAAACCCTCTCTTTCTTTATACCACTCAATTTTTGCCATTGCATAATCAATTTAGGTGCTTCTTCTGTTGACTTGAAACCAGGAATTCAAGATCTGCGATTCCTCATCTGCTATCATTATTATTGACGACCCTTTCATTACAAATTTTATAGCATTCTTCCTCACTATCATGCTTGACATGAGAAGGAGGATACAGATTTCAGAACAGCATGCTCGAGCTGCACAAGCTGAGGTTCAATCCACCAGCGAATTCGAAGAACTATAACTGATGCATCATCCTTGCATATGTACCTTATTTGTTCTCTTCTGTCTGCCCTCGTGATTATTCCGGTCTCTTTGTTTTCTTGAATTGCTCATCTCTTCGCCTCAGGCTACTCGGCTACTTACTTGATCGCTTGGCTGACCCTAGCCGCTTGGTGCGGCGTCTGGCTTTGCTTGGTGTCGGCAAATTCGCTAGCACTGCCTGTGGCCTCCGCTGGCTCCGGGGCTGCCCACAGGATTTGAGCCCAGCCTACTTGCATGCCCTTGAATTCTGCCCCGATCTGAAGCCAGGTAGACTGCTCTTGACGTCTATTTCTGCTCTATAATTTTTTTTAGATTAAAAGAAATTGCCTTGAATTTCTCTTAACTTGTATCACTCTATAGAGGTTGTTTGACATTGTTTTCGCAACATGGTCATATTGATAGGAAGACTTAGCGAAACGCACCTAGTCCGGGGTCCATTGTATGCATGCTTATTTCCAAAGTCGAACCGTGGA